TCCCCAGACATTAAAGCATAGATAGCTGATATCTTACCTTTTGCGACACGAACATCGAGCGGAGCTGTGAGTAACAAAAAAATACATGACACATTAGCACACTTGCTGCTGCGTTCTGGCATAGGTTCTCTAGCGCTGAGCGCTAAATATTCTTCTAATTTCCAACCGTCATCAATATCATGTCTCTCTTATATTTTCCCAAGCAAACAAGGGACAAAAAAAAAATCACCGGAGAGTATGTTTTGATCACTGATGTAAAACCCATAAATTTAATATATATAAAAACTGGATCATTGGATAATGCAATTCGAGAGTTTTCATTGGCTCAGCCATCGTAGGTCATGAGCCATTATACCATGCTCTACAAATGAGGTAAGCGTACACGTAATTTTTTGGGGCGTTTTTTATTTTTATTTTAGATTAGTTTTCTATATTTTGGGCGCGTTTTTAATACTGAACAATTATTCCACTCGTGCTTGTTGGATATGAGATGATTATAGCCAACGAGGCGCCACGTGCGTCGTTGGCTATCTACCGTCTCATATATAAAGCACGCTCGTTAAATAAAAAATGCACTGAATACCAACCATAAAATTTTGACAAGATTTCGGTATGAATGCAATAATGAGTCTTACCTGAATCAACCGATAAACCAACGCAAACTATCACAGAGACAAGGAAACGTATCCTCATTTCTTCACCTTTCTCATGCGAGGTGAACCTGTTAAAAAGAATAATATTTGAATTTGACAGGTTCAGCATATCAAGGGATCCTTTTTTTCTTATCGGTAATCAGCCTAGGAGGGAACAAAACGTCTTGCTCCACGTTATCTTCTTTGCCAGACACGTAATGAATATTCTTTGTACGTTACCATATGGTGATTTGCAGAGTAATGAACGTAACTCATGATAACTGTAATGCACTGTGTTGCCTACATGTAAGCATCGATACTTAAACGAAATGTCCCGTCTACATTGCAAAACTATGTTCGTAAGAAAAAATAGAAATTTATATTTCTATTATTCAGCTTCAATTATACTATCTTAGCCACTCAAGACGACACCGCTAAAGCCAGATAGATGGTACTACAGAATGTCATTGTATATATATATGCCTACTGTATGGTTTAGTACTAAATACTTCCAACATGCTGTTTGCCTCGGTATTTCACGAGGAGTTTACTTTTCGATAGCATTAACTGCCTTGTTTCTCAAGAAGTTCATAACGGTCTCAGCTAGTCTGTCCCAAACTACACTTTCATAAACAAGGACTGGTGGTAAATTGCATATAGTTATGTAACCTGTTGTTTGTTGCCATGACATCGCAGGTCAAGCTACAAGTGCTCAATTTGCTACTTTACACACTCAGTACTTATTTCCTGTGATCTATCGAGTATCCCGAAAGGTCGAAAAGATTAGTTCTATCAATGCCTAATAAAGTTCAGACTTACAAAAATGAAGGTTTTTCACACATATCGTGTCGGTCAGATGGGATTCCTTAGTTCTTTTGTATATACTTGCATGCCGTGAGGTAAATAAACCGCTACACTGATTCACTAAATTAAAATCCTAACCTTTGGTGAGACTTTGGTGACTCATATCGAGCTTGCGTGCAATGCTGTAAAACGAATCGTCGATACTTTCTTAAATGGGTATCACTAACACCGATAAAAAGACCAATATCGATAACTAAATTTTCCAAATTAGACTTCGCACTTTACTTCAATCTATACATCACATGTGTGGAACGTAGTCAGAGAGGATTAGCTAGGATTGGTCTATCGATCTCACGCAGCCTTAAGCTGTTAAGGGTGGAGCCGCTACGGGGAGTGTTTTGTGACCGGTAAACTTAACTACATATGAAGTGTCCTTAAGATTACTCATCAAGTTGGAATAATTTTAAACAACACAACACCAAAGTATAACTTGCAATTTTTATATTAGTTACGTTTGAATTAATGGAATTGTTTTTCTGCGTTAGGTGTCTTCAAGCGTAGTAAAAATTTCAATTTCCACTACTTCTTCCTGAGGAAGGAATTCAGCTCATAACTTGGGCTGTGCAATATTACCAAGGAACGGAAGTTAACGTTAAGTTCATCGACTCGTGCTTCAGTTTATGATAATGGCTAAAATATCTGTTTTAAAATTATGATTGGGTAGACTTCAGCGATTTATATAAAAACTGCTTCAGACGTTCCAGTTTGTTAAACAAGCGACCATAAGAGTGACGTAATATTACATAGATCTAACTGTGTCTAGGAAACCACGCTATCAATTAGAATTCGTTGAGCAGGGGTTTACGTTTAATATAGCGGCTAGTTATTTAATATTGCCTGGTGACAGCCCGGTGGAGTACACGACTTGATCTTCCTGCTAGAAAAACGTCTTCCTCCTTATACATAACTACAGATAACCAGTGAATCCTCATGGGTTAAAATTGAAGTAATAAATTTAGTCTCTTGTGTGGTCGAGAAAGAAGGCTTTGAAGTCACCATGAAACACCAATTGCTCTCAACGCACCAAGAAATTTTGTTCAAAAATTACAGCGACGACGGATAGTTTCAGTTGTTTTCGAGTCAAGACGTCTTGGTGACAATTTCGGAGGAAAAGCTATTAAAAGTTATGGAAAGTAAAGTACAAGGCAATTTCAAATCGTAAAAATAAAGCAAATTTTACTTGGCTACCAGAAAGCAAACATAAAATTTTCGACTTCAATTTATTAACAACTGGTAACTTACCTCGGTCAATCGTCGTAGTTTCTCTTACAACGCGTTCTCTTTGTAAAAATCGCTTCTTTAACTCAACAAGTCTACTCCTGAAAATTTGAAGAACAAATTGAGAGACCTTTGGGCTCTGTATTTTAATATAGCTGATTTCAAAAGGAAAAACTCTCGTTGAAATGGAAGGAATGGCGGAAATGTTCTTTTGCTGGTTATGACAGGTGGCGGGCGGTACCAGCTCTTGATCTTTGACGTCACTCCGGATCGAGCCTCAAGCTTGACCAAGCGAACCGAAATGTAACAAACTCTCTGATTGGTCAGGGCAAAAATAATATCATTTATCGATTGAGGTTAAGAAGATTTTGCACTTTTTCTTTTCAGGAATGTTATCGATACACGATAGAGTCAACAGGGATCTTTTAGAGGTCTGTTAGCGGCCAGCAGATCAGCGTATGCAGTAAGCTTTCGAAAAGAAATAGAGACAGGGTGGATTTCTTGCGAATGTGCAAGTATAACGGCCATTTTCATTATTAAAAGCTGTCCAGTGAGTCTAAGGTAAAGGCAGTGGAAAGAAACTCATGAAAATATCAGAAAAAGTGGAGAGGAGGGCGAGTCCCGCTTATTAAGTACCGGATGCTCTTTCTCCCTGAACACAGCTACAGTTAAGAGGGACTGAGTGGTGTATATATGGTAGCTGAAAATAGAGGGACTCCACTGAGGTGTTTACATCTTTGTTAATGATGATTGGTCATTGTTTGCATGGGAGTAGGTAAAAACAGATCAGTTGTAACCTTCCATGCTAATAAATCATCTCATGGTCTGAATTAGGTGGCAACAAGGATATCAACACCTTAGCCGAGTCCGTCTACAGGCCAAGATTGTACCAAGATTGAGAAATGGCGCGTGTTTTGAATGAAATCTGAGATAAACTGATAGCTGAGTTCTTCTGAAAATTCTGATGTAACTGCTGGAACCAAATCGAACGTTCGATCAAGCGAACTTAGTCAGACTCATTCAGACTTGAATTAGAAGTTGAGCAATCGAACGCAATCGAACTTTGATTGAGTTTGATGGTCAAAATCGGAATACATTCGATTAAAAATGGAAGTTATGTAAGAATAATGAGCTTGTTTTGCTGAATATTTCCGTTTTCTAGGGTGTCTTACGTAGCAATGTAATGTATATTTATTGGGAGAATATATTTAAGATTCCGTTATCACCATTTTTCTACTTTAGTTTAATAACACAAACTCTGAGTTTCAAAAAACTTACTCCGAGTTGTGTAAGTCAAAAACAAACTCCAATTTTCAAAAATGAACTGGCTCAAATTTTTTTTATTATTCCGATCAACGTACGTCCAGGAATAAGTCAATCACGACAGACAGTGATTCTCTCGTGATTGACTTTGCGTCCTACAAAAAGGACTCAAAGAGCTGTTTGAACGTTTGATAAAGCGCTCTGTTGTGTGTTTGATGTATCTTTTGAGCTGTATCTAAATCTAAGAAGTAACTCGTGAAATAAGATAGTTCAAATATACCCAAATTAAGAAATTTTCTCAAACCACACGCACCTTCATGTTGTTTTCACGTAAATATCCTTTTCATCTTTGCTGAGCTGCTTTGGGAATTTGTTCACGATGAAATTTACAATTTGCATTTTTAAATTGAGGATTGGTGTTGTTTATTGCTAGTCTGTTGTCATCACGCGTACGAGTCATCTTTTAGCGTTGGTAAATAAACTGGCATAGAATGACCATATGTTTAACCTGTCGGAAATGGTAATATTTATTATATAAGCACTAATAAAATACCAGGTGAGCTTTCGCGCAAAAACATGATATCTTTACAAGTGAAAATAACAAGTTATCTTCACAAAGATCACAGTTGCCATGGTTACATAATAAATCGCGCCTTTCGCAGCGAAAGCGAAATGGGTTTTTTGGTGTTTATATAATAAATAGAACATTACATGGCCACTTGGAGATTGATTTCACTTGAGATTGATTGCCACTTCGAGTTTCGTGATTTGTTTCGTTTTCCGCTTTTCTGCAGCATTTTTTCCTGTGAAGAGAAATTTCCTCGTGCCTCGTCACTAACAGCTAAGCTTTTGTCGCATCCTGTCTGGTGACTTTCTCTTATCCTTCGAAAAGTTGCCGAACAGCTACAACTCATTTATTTAAAAAGACCGCACTTTCTAATATTTTGCCTTCGGCGCATTAAAGCACTGATGGAGATGGTTACATAAGCTACTTTAGTGACTAGAATTGAAAGACAAAAGAAACAGTTTCTTTTTCCGTTTAATTTTATGATTTTCATAAATAAATGCACTGTAGTAAATCTGTTCAATAAATACTAATATATAATGTAAATATAAAACCTACGACTTACTCTTCAGTTCAAGTGTTACCGACCTACAGCAACACAATAATGATTGTCGTAACCGATAGCTAACAGAATTAAGCGTAAAACAAGATTTCAAGATTCAATTCAACAAAAGACGTTCTTCAAATATTACAAGTGCATAGTGCTATAAAATCACTACTACTTATAACATGTGATGTTTGCGCCTCTATGCTATTGTTGGCCTTTTTCTAACGACAGCCATGAACAGATAAAGAAGAGACAAATACATAGCGGATATCTTCGAAATTCTAGTTACAAGAGTACAGGATTTAAGGTACTCGAGATCATTTTGGAATATTCCAACTTGTTCTTAACCACTTGAATACCACCGTGCACGGTGTAATTTTAGGGCCAGAAAATAAATAAATAAATAATTAATTAATTAACAATAAGTACAAGTCTACAGAAATTGCAAAATAGAGAGATGACGAAAACAGAAGCTACAAAAGGGAATTAAAAGTTTGGTAAAATGAAGATCGTGGCATAGAGGTCGGTCCAAGGCCAAAATAGAACGATCTTCCAACAATGAAATTGGCACTTTTTTTGAACCGTTTTCCAGCGTTATGAACTACTCCGCCTGCGATTTTTGTTCAGATCATATTACTGGCAACAACCCGGTTTCCCTGGTGGAAACCAGATGGACGGAATATTACTCAAGATATGAGGGGAAATGACACGGTTCGACAATTCGTCGAATCAAGCTGGGGAAAGTTTCGGCCAAGAAAGTGTCAATATCATTGGCAAAAGAGAAGTTCATACTTCATTCAAATATCATCGTCTCGAGAAAAAAAATGACGTTTAAGATGTGTCAGATGGGTTAGGTGATGTTTCATTACGCAGTGTTAAGTTTTCGTACCAAATTTGTAAATAGTAGATGGAAGTGATTATCATGAAGGAGTTAATGCAACGGTGCACGGATCACTAAAAGGACCGGCTCGCTCTTGTTCGTCAACAGCACGGACAGAAAAGAAATACTTGCTTCCCGAAGAGAACTGGGTCAGTGTACACGCCATAGGAAGAGGAAGAGCTTTTACAATACCTATCTTCTTCCACTTGATTGGCTGCTCTTTGTTTTCGGTGACATCCTGACAGGCAAACAGCTCGTAATTATCGATTTTAATAACGGCATCGTCATGCTCCATGTTCCAAGAAAGAACGATACCTCTGTCCATCACAGCGATTGACGCTGACGGCTTAGGAAGTGGTTTACGTGCATCTCTTTTGTCATTTGAAATATTGCTTGCCGTAGCCGTTGATGAACTTGTCCTTTCAGTATCCAGGGAATGTTTTTCACTGCGAGGATCGCTGGAAGAGATTCCCGGGGATTGGATTGGTTTCCTGTAAAGAGACTGCAGGTTAATAAGATGATTTCCACTTTCATTTGTCACTGGCGCTGCATTCACTTGCTGTTGTCCTTGAAGCGGCCGCTGCACCTGATTTGAACGGGATTGCAATTGCGGTGTTTGCCTAATTTGTTGTACTTGCAACTCCTGCTGCTTTGACTTGGGCGGCCAATTTTCCAACGATGGACGATGACCAGATGGAGGAAGGGCGTTTCGTGCGTTCTGGAAGCGCCGTTGCGAAGGGGTGGTCACCATTCCCTTTTCGGGGGACTGCATCGTATATACCATCCTCGATTGTTCAGAAGTGTGTCCCGAAGAAACCGTGACTCTCTCTGTCGAAGTTTGAAAGGATTGGCTTGTAGACTGCTGCTGTAACTTCTGTCGCTGAAGGAGATACTCAGGGGATGGAAGTGAGAATCTGTAACCTGAAGGGAGAAGTTCCTCATTAGTATGCTTTTTGCGAGCAGGAACTAAAATGCTCTGTTGCTTGTCTTGGAGTTTTGGTTCAAGTCGTCTGTAGGTTGAGGCCACCACAGTCGACAACGTAGAAGAAGCCTCTTTAGATAACTGCGAATCTTTCACGTTACTAGCGTTTTCTCCTGCTATTACAAACGTGCTGTGCGTATTGTTTAAAGACGTTTGTGGTTGTCTGCCTGTATGATCATGCTGAGGATGCATTTGACTGTTTGGATTTTGTACATGTGCTCGCTGTTGCAAACGTTCTGGTGGTGGTCGAGAATTGTCTCTTTGATTTGTGGCCAGTGCAGTTCGTGGGCTAAACGTTTCTCGAGGAAACGATTTTCTAAACTGCACTGTTGCGACATCTTGGGACAATGACGAACGACGTAAGGCACTCTCATGGCGTTGTAAGGTGGCGCTATGTTGTCCTCCAGTACTTGGGATTTCTTTCATTTCTGTTGCAGTAGCTTTGCCGAGTGATCCGAGTCGTCCGCTGTAGGGATGATTTACAATCTTATTTATATGATCCTGGACTATAGTGTTTGAATTCAGCAAGTTTGATCTTTGATTACTAACAGATGTTTGTTTAAGGAAGGTAGATTGGGACTCTTGCACTTGTCCTGAAGGTACGACAGGTATTTGACTCTTGCCGGCAGAACTCATTAGCGGTCTTTCAACACGATTCAAAACATTGTCAAGATGCGTTGCATTAAAAGTGATTGAAGACGTAGGAAGATTTGAAGCAGTGCTGGGTTGAGATTGTTTTTGAACGAAAGAGTAGATGGAGCCTTGGGTTTCTTGATTACTCGATGAATGATTACTTTGCTGTGGTGTTGATAGGATTGGAGAACGAATTAATTGCTGCTTTTCCTGCAACAAAATCGAAGAAGATTCCACTGCTTTGGATTGTGGCTTTTGTTGTTGGACCATTGCAGAGATTGACGAAATGGGTGTTTCTAATTGTCTGCGGTATTGCTCCGGTTGACTCTCCTGACCTGGTGGGGTTGACAGATGTCGGACTTGTGATTTTTGTTCTTGGTGTACCACTCTATGGTAATGCTGCTGTTGTTGAAGTTGTTGCTGTCGCTGCAACTGCTGTAAAAGTGAAGCTGTTGTTTCGGTTGAATGTTGTGCAGGTGAAACCGAAGTGCCAGGTAAACGTTGTTGTTGCTGCTCCTGCTGCCGCAGAAGTTCCCTTTGCTGTAGTAGTGTTTGCTGCTTTTGACGTATCATTTCTAGCCTCGAGTCTGTTTGGGAAAGAGATATAGTTTTAAGTGGTAAGTCGGAAGCAGCACTCCTCGGCTCAAGTGGTCGAGGCTGATGAAATGTTTTGGAGACTGGCGTTTCTAGAGATCGTCCATTTCTCGTTTGTAGATACGTTGCCTTACTGACTATTACATCAGAACTGGAGGCTTGGAAAAAGTTTTGTTTTTCATTTGCATCGTGCTGCACTGTTAGTTCTGCAAGCCTGGGTTTCACCGTGTAGACAACAGCTGTAGACGTGAGTGGTTCTGTTGACTTGCGCTGTGAATGAGAATTAGCATTTGAAGCCACTTGAACAGAATATCGTTGAACAGTCGATTTTTGAGTCAATCCTGGATCCGATCCCGAGATAACAATTGTTGCAAGGGAAGTTGGGCGAGGTGTTATTGACGGACCAGAGCTAGGCATTCCACTCGCAGGGGATACCGGGCCAGTAGGTTTTGTGACAGACGTAGTTTGAGCCATTCCTCCAGCAGATGATACCAGACCAGCAGGTTGTGTGACAGAAGTAGTTTGAGCCATCCCTCCAGCAGATGATACCAGACCAACGGGTTTTGGGACAGACGTAATTTGAGCCATTCGTTCAGCATTGGATACCGGGCCAACAGGTTTTGTAACAGAAGTAGTTTGAGCCATTCCTCCTACATTTGATACCAGACCAACAGGTTTTGTGACGGACGCAATTTGAGCCATTCGTGCAGCATTGGATACCGGGCCAGCAGGGTTTGTGACAGAAGTAGTTTGAGCTATTCGTCTAGCCATGGATACCAGACCAACAGGTTTTGTGATAGAAGTAGTTTGAGCCATTCGTTCAGCAGTGAATACCAGGCCATCAGGTTTTGTGAGAGAAATGGCTTGAGCCATTCCTGCAGCAGTAGATACTAGACCAGTGGGTTTTGTAAAAGAAGTAGTTTGAGGCACCGGTGTAACAGGACTTGCAGGAACTTCACGTCCAAGACTCTGTAAAATTAGAAAATGAAACCGTTGTATAGATATAAGCTGATATACGTTTTTGGTAAAGCACCCAGCGTGGGTTACCGAATGATACATTGGTATAAAGTGCTGTCTACACATAAAGCCTGGCGTTATGTTGATACTTGTAGTAATTAATGAGAAATATCAGAGACATTTACCGAATCAATGTTAACTTGAACACTCTGGGATATCTTTGATTGTTTTCTCTGAAATCAAAAACAAAAATTAATGTAAATAATCTCTTCAGACTGCGAATGAACTTCAGGCTGCGATGTGCGCGTTATCCCGTTGTTGATAACTTTACTCTGGCTGCATGATCATCATCATAATTGAAAACAGCAGATGATAGTGTCTGAAATGCAAACTTTTTTTGAACATAACGTAAGTGCAATAGCCGCACCTTTTCATTTGCGATAAGAAATTGTCGAAAAGCATTAAACAGCTTTCTAGCGTTCCATTGCAGTTCCCTGTTTTCTCTTTCCAACTCCCGTATGCGATTTTGAAGTTTAATTGAATCCTCTGCTACGGCTTCCTCAATAATCTTGGTACGCTGCTCGATTACTTCTTTCAGCACCTAAAACAAGAACGAGATCACAAAACTGTTTTCACCTCTTGAAGCTTTAACAGAATGTTTAGTCATGGGAAAGAAATTGCTCGGAAGATATATGGTAAAGAGATCAATCAGTGAGTCACAGACGCTACTCAACAGTTTTGGTTGGCATCATTCCCAACAGGAGTAAGTTCCCACATACCGACCAGTCGAATGTATTATATATTCACAGTGCCTTTCCCTATGCCAAGGTGTATAAACGTGTACCAGTGAATGATTGGAGAAAACTGGTGACGGGCAGTCTTGTAGAGGTGGGGGAGGGGGTTGGTAAGGAGATGCCATATTCGATTGTAATCGTGTTATTTGAGGAAAGCCAGGACTGATCACTATTTTAGTTCCTCCATTCCTTAGGAATGGTACAGATTAAACCTTTACTACTTTTTTTTTAATAAGCATATTTACCTCTCTAAAGATGTTAACATCAGCGGTTGTCTGAGGCTTCATTTCGTTGTCGTCACCCTCTGATTTATGTGTCCCACTCTCAGTCAATACTGTTTCGTCGTGTTTCACACCATTTTGAATTAGCGTCACACCTAGAAACAGAAGAAAATTTAGCTCGTTTTTGCGAAGACACGATCTCTTATAACCATCTCAACATTTCTTAAACGCCATTCACACTTTGAACCTAGTGCAGTTAACACTTACTTGGTGTTGAATGTTTTGATGGTTCTGTACTTCCTTCTTGCAGCGCTCTTTTCTCTTCTTCTTTGACACTGTGAGAGCCATTTGTTATCTCCTTTTTGTTTTCTGCTGGATTTGATCCGCCAGCTTCGGACATCTCAGCAGTTTGACTTTGCGTTTTTCCAGCCGCCATCTCTTTTCCACACATTTTCGTGATCCGTCGCAATCTCTCGATGATGTCATGATTGACGTTCAGTTTGTTTACCAGCACCCTAGGTCCCTTTCTTTTGCGTTCTCCCAGAGTCATCTGTGGCGAAGGCGCTTGGAGGGATTCGCCACATTTGGTTTCTAAAAGCACATTTATATACAAAGATTTGTCAACGGAATTCACCATGAGACTGGTTACCCTACCGACTATCTCCTTACAGCTAACTGGAACCCGGTTCTTTGTCTGCTTACTGGCAAAAACTATAAAACAAAGTAGTTCAACACATAAAGCCTTCTGTACGCATTGGGTGCCCATAAAAGTAGATTATGTTTCCAGCGGGGAACATAAGTATCACAAGGCAAACTTAAATCGGCCAAGCTATAAAGTTCTTCAAAATCCGAAACTCTTCCGAAACTAGGAAACATCTGTTTTCGAATGCTTTTGCCATAATCTTTCTTAGCTCAGCCACACCCTAATGGTCCCCTACTGCCAGATTCAATAGAATACCGCAACTCAATCGTTCCGTCGCTATGAACCGCGAGCTGATAGACGCGGTGAAATTCACCAAAACGACTCGGCTGCAAATACACATAATTGTCTTCAAAAGCTACATTTAATGGGTGTTTTCTATCACTTAATCTCCCTATCAACAAGGAACGGAACACAGAGTGAGGGTGACTTAATCGGAGGAGTCTCAAGAGTTCTACAATACTACCTACCAGACACTTCTTGGACCTCATCAAGCTTCCTGTGGAAAACCGCATTAGAAAGACATATTAGTTTAGGACTACAATTTCAAGAAATAATTGAACTGAAGTTTAATTGTTAAAATAATGAATGGATCAATCAATCGGACGGTCGATCAGTCGGTCAAGGACAACTTCCTAACTGGGCTTTCCAGGGAAAACGTAAATGAAGAGGTAACGTGGCAGGGGAAATGCCAATCTCAATACTATTCAGTAATGTTAGGGGTGTAAACGAGGTGTTGAACTTGGATTACCAAGGTCAACACCTGCTTGGGAATGGGGTGGAGCTATACTTGAACCCAGCCCTTTGACCTCTCGGTCGCGTTGCCTTTAAGGCTTTAGTCGAAGCATACGATGGTTTTCGACCAGGTAAATATAGTGAACACGTATAAATAATTTAAGAAATTTAAGGCAAGTATATATAGCAAAATAAGCACAGTGAAAACATCCAAAGAAGCATAAAGTTTTAATTGAAACATAATAAATTGCAACTATGTGTTCTTAGAGATGGACTTAGAGCAAAGATAACTTCACGAAGTCAATAATACGATATGAATTAGATCATAATCCCACAATTTACCTTCGTTTCTCTGGCCTTTCTGAACCATCCATCTTCCTTTCTTGGCTTCTGAGAACAGATTAAGGCAACTGTTAAAAACGTAAATGACAAGGTCGTCTCATATCAAATGACGTCATGTGATCTTCTGCCTCGTGAAACTTTCGGGAAGTCGAATTTAGTCAGTCGAACTGAAGAACATTTGCCAAAAGAATAATTTCAATTAGCGTCAAAAATCCATCGTGTTGTTAGAATAGAGTAAGACAGGACTCCATCAGAGACAATTCTATTCAATTTTTAATGAGTTAATTGTTCTGGCACCTGCCACAAACAAAAACCGGTTTGGTGGGAAACTCTGTTTTTTTCTCACTCGAAGTTTTCTTTGTGTCAGTGTGCAATTGCTCACTGCTCTTCTGATAAGCCGTTGTTGTTTTTGATTCCCTTGCCGGCGTCATTGACAATAAACAAAAAAATATCACCATGTGAATCGGGAATATCTGAAGGTCTTTAAATATTTAGTTTGGACTGGATATATCGATATTAGGAATATAAGCCTTCCATAGTAATGAACGAATCAACCAATAATGTGTTAAATTAAAACAGATAAGCTGAAATATTACTGGGATCACAATTTGCTCGACACCTTTACCAATATGACAGCTGTTCCTCAACAACAGATAGTTGTACTGAGGTAAGGAAACATATGAGTTTAAAATGAAAGCGTTTCAAGTGCTGCAATAAATCAAAATGCCACTATCGATGACTTGTGTCTTTCCTCTACTTAACAACGGGTCAGAAGCGATGTTTTTATGAAAGGTGTTACCATTTTATATCACGAAATCTCCAGCTAACTCCCACTGGCTCTGCATTTTATATTAACCGTTTCCTCTGCTTATGAAGTAAAAAAAAAAAAACTAGAGTTTCCTTGAGCAATCACAAACAGAATTTCGTTGATAAAAGAAAAAAGAAAATGACTGGTGAAATTAATGTTTTCACCATGTTTGCAGTAGCAGTCGTTTCATATCTTTGTCCTGAACATATGCAATGACATGGTTCAATTAACTGATAATTGTTGGCATAAGAAAGCGTTGAATAGCGGCAAAATGCTGCACCAAGAGCTCCAATGCTAATGTATGCAAAACGCGAGTAGATGCGACTTGTTGTCAGTTGAGATATTTTTAATAATCTCCGACTTCCTGCTGTAATACTATCAGGACGATGTTAGGAATAACAAGGTTTTTCCAACACCGTCAAGACGCAAAGACCATTGGTCTTGAACAACAGTAACGATAATAAACTTTCTCAAATCTTTAACATTTATCGTCATATCCTTTCAAACATCTCACTTGTCCACAAAACGGGTCCAAGCAGCTTGTGTCCGAAAGTTGATCGCATTTCAAGCTAGTAGTTGCAGTTATACGGCTAACTCTTCCACCTGTCCCCTGTACGTGCCGCTGTAACGCGGTAGAGTGTTGTACCACTGAACCAGTGTGCGCTAGGTCATACGTTCTTTCATGATTGTGGTTCTATTTCTGCTGGGAGAACTCACGTGACAGCTTATATCACTGACCAACATCCCTCTCAAAAATAAGCAAACTAAAGGGCAAAGATGTTCAACATTTGAACCATTCGAAAAATAACGAGTTCAAGACTTGAACCATAATCTTCGGCAAGCTCGTCTAACGCTATATAATATCGCACAACGAGCTGTGACTAATATATGCCCTCCGATATCGTTAAAACGCTTAACACGAGAAGAAGGCCAGATATTTCTCAAATATAAGAATTGAATCCAAACACTTGAAGTGAGACAGAAAGTCTGGCTACTGATGAAATATTCATCTTTATCGTTGTGGGGCGGATAACATATTGAAAACAATAACACATACCTGTTGTGGATGATTCAACGCACTCAAATCGTTTACTCTCACACAGCCGACAGCCACAAGTGTTGCATGCTGAGAACGGGACTGAATGCTATCTCAGTTGTTTCTTGTTGATGTCAATCATAAGTCAATGCAATAACATGCTCTGACACGTCATGCGTTGTAATGCCATTGTCAAAAGCACTTTCCAGAGTTATGTAAATCAAGAAGTGGCGAAAGTTTCGACAAAAACATTGTGACCCACAAAGCCTTCACGAGATGTACCTAATAGCTTAAGCTGATATATCTACTATAGTTGTTGTTTTTGTTAATCTTCCTTGATTGAGGCACACGTGAACTTTGGATATCAGTTTGCTCCTCCTCCTCTTGCAGTCATACGTTTGGTCACGTACCGGAAGAACCAGCTTTTGAAACTTGTTAAACTGGTTATACATTCCAGAAAAGCGTGTGCAGTGTCCATAGCGACATGAACAGAAGTTCTTGCTTTGAAAGCTCTGCTCTCTGATAAGCAAAATGTTATTATAGGTTAACGTAATGCTTACCAGCAACAAAATCACCATGTAGTAGTTCCACTACCTACAGTCTATATTATTAGCGGAAACGTGGATAATTCGTGATTTTTGTTTGTAAGCGATTTGGCATAGATTGGATCGTGTCTTCGACAGGAAACCTTGTAAAAAGGCATCTTGGACTCTCCGGCCATTAGACAAAAGGGATGAAGCCTTACCTTGCGTAATATAATACCACGAAAAATAATATATTAAAACTTTTAGAACAAGGATAACAACTGTAGTAATTGAAATTCTATCTCCGGGGCTCGGCGCAATAAAACAAAATAAAGCACTCTGTCGCTAGGAAACGTGTACAATCTTTTGTTTTAATCCTGCAGTTGGTAAAGTCGAATCAAAATGGCCTATCTTTCTTTTTTCGTATCCCTTGTGGAGGTGATATATGTTTATGGCTGACTGTTAACCGAACTTTACTAGTAACAAGAAACCCTGCGTCAGCTGGAATAGTAAAAGACATGTACTACATAAACTTTTTCATTTTTACATCAAGGTATAGACTCCATACAAGGTCCATTATCACATTGCATTGTTTGTTGTTGTTTATGTTGTTGCTGCTGCATGCTGTGGCGCTTGCACAGTCCCCCCGGTATAGTTTCGGTGTCAAAAACTTTTTCCATCTAACGTTTGTACGCCGTGGAACGTAACTCGAACGCAACAATTTTTTCTCACGTCTTTTTAGGATTTTTTCCGAACAGTAAAAAAAACGTCTATCAAAAGTAATTCAGACCTCGAACAGCGTCGTTCTCTGAATAGAATTCAGTGGACAAAACGTGAACAAACATGCTTTAAGGGCAAACCGCATGCTCTTTAGAAATACAGTCGAACCTTTCCACAGTGGTCACGTTGGGGACAGAGAAAAGTGGCCGTGGTAGAGAGGCAGCCGTTATGGGGAGGTAATTTTATTTAATGGTGTAAATATGACCTCTGTTGTTTTTTTCGGGGGCTGAAACATTTATATTTTTAAACAATGCTTATATATGTAACACAATCAAAATAAAAAATTAAAACAGAAACCAAACCGAAGCAAAGACCAACGACGCGCGGTTGGACGTTGTAGATAGATAGGTGGCTGCAAATGAAGGTTGCACTGTAGTCGATTTATAGATGTTCGTTGCGTTGAATTTCCATTTCGTTCTCAGTTGCACTTTTGCGCAGCGAAACACAAATGCTTGAAAATGAAATGCTTGGCACTCAGCATGTCGCACCGTTTGTGTTATTACATCAAAACTATTTCCTATGTGGTTGCGTGTTTTCGTGACATTGTTCCGTTTGGACAGTCGTGCAGGAAGCTCCATGCAGGTGGCCTGTGTCATGGTCTCTCATTCCTCGAGGGACGGCGTGGGGCACACAGGGTGGTTTGTTAATCCCGATTGTTTATTAATGACATTCTGGTTGTGCCATGGAAAAAGAATGTAATTTGACAGACAATACGAGGCAAGCAATAAGATGCAACCTAAACTTATTGCCCGGTAGATAACGTCAATATACAATACGGCGGGGCACCCGCGATGACATGACATATGTCAATGCGTTTCATTACGCGTGGACACCAAAAAGAGCTGTTAATGGTGTTCGGTCGGTGTTTGTTGACCGTCGACTTATTTAATACAAAGGCGATAATGGCCGTAAGATCACAACTTAGGTTCTCTTCTTTACCAGCATAATTATCAATGAAAAGCCTAACGCAGAACCACAACAAATTTGGTCGTTGAATCGATCGATCAGAACTTAAATCAATGGCAGGCGTGACATAGTTTCAGTAAATAGAATATACAGAGACGTCGATTAAACAAAGCTCTCGACTAATCCATGAATTTCGGCTTGGTCGCCTCAGAGGACATATTCCATATTCCATAGGTGAGAGTGAAATGACAAATATTCATAAAATGTACTTGCCGAAACGAGCGTTATATTTATATAAACCTCGAAAAAGCGAGGAATTAAAATCACCGGTTAGTCAGACCTGCGAAGGTAGACGTATAAAAAATGACACAAGTCGCCGCTGGCTCAGTAATAAAAACCAAAGATTTTCTTGCGGTTTCGCTTTGTTTTCATCTTTTTTTAACCAAAGTTTTATAGTGATCAACGTCTTCCAAATGATTTTCTCTCATTCTCGGAGTAAAATGATTAGATAGCAAACAGACTAAGAACAACACACACTCTCCTACCTCTGGCGTTAAGCTTAATAATTACTGCACAGTCGCTGTAACAGGTTGCTTTCTTCAAGGCAGCTCGGGGCACGCTGAAGAGCGTTACAATTTTAAAGATTTTACGATGAGAACACCTCGTGTTGTGACTGAGAGGTCATTTGAATTGCAAAATCACCCTGCCATTGTGTCAGTGTTATTTACCTTTCATTCCCTGCCACCAATTTCAAGTATTCTGTGTCTGTTAAAAGACGTGAAAGCGGTTCCAGGTGTTCAGCCAAAGTCTGTGAGTATCCTGCTAAATTATCCCGCAAATTAAGCTTTTCTCCTGGCGAAGAAAAATGAAGAGAGAGCACATAGTTCTTTTCAAAGACCACGCGCTCTTTGGAGACAATACCATCAGCAACATTCCTTTCACGCCTACGTAATCAAGTCAAACAAGATTCTTTCTTAATTAAACCGGCTTGACTTGTTTCAGAAACAATACGTGATCTCATAGTCAATTAAAAATATCAGCTTGCAAGGTGGTGTTTCGCGGCACTTTCATATGCCAAAAAGTTAAAACCGTAATTTGACATCGTTAATCGGATGAAAAAAAAAAAAAAAAACACAACTTGTTATTTTAATATGAAACATTTCCGATTCTGTAGCTTTAGGCATTAATCGAAAGTTTCGGGATCTTCCTAAGCATAACTACAGCCTGAAAATAAAGAAACTCGCCTTGAATTTATAATATATAATTTCGAAAACTCTGTGACTGACAATAGGGGCTTATACAAACAATGAGCTGCTACCAACTGATTCGACGCTGACAAACATCTGCTAGCGCTGGACCTTTTCTTTTCAGGAACATCCATTCGAATATGCCATGGCGATTCCTCGCACGATATCGTGAAAATTGATTTGTTTTTCTTTTATTGACTGATCGATCATACGTTGGACTCGACTGAGTAAGGACGTTTTAAAAATCTATGTAACATAGTTTGTACCTGTGCCAATAACACACAAAAAATAATAACAGAAGTTGAAAAGCTCAGTTATTGTCTGCCGGACCTCGTGGAATATTAATTAAACACTTTGTGTTTCGCTTCTTTCCTAGACCCTACAAGCGCTCAGAAGACGAAGACACAGGCAAAATGCAATAACAAATATCTTTACCACACTAAGCGTAAAAGATATGCTCTCAGCGTGAACGATGAATATACATTACATATGGTATAAGCATGGAGGGAGATATGTTGTGGCTTTTTTACAGTAGATCCAGATCACTATCTCTGCAGGTCAACGTTTAGTTTGCAAAGAACCTCAAAAGACGTAAAATGACAGAGTAGTAGCTAGCGTACATGTTAGTCCTAAATGATTCGTCCTGCTCAAGTGATTTTTTTGGATTTGAGTTTCATCTGAGGTCATTACCAAGCGCATTTACTAGACGATCGGTCAACCAGCCGATGACTTTACTTCTTGCTGCTACACTGTGCTAACGAGACCCAACAAGGTCGAAACAGCTGTCCACGGTTGCAATCCTTGGCTTTCAGTTTGGATTCTAGCATGTTGTTGTCGCGTTAAGTCATCTGGGTAGTAATCAGCCTTTCTTCATGACCCTTCATTGTTATGTTTCTAATTTTGGTTGGTCAGATCTTTTACAGATTCTACGTATACCGGCAGTATTTTCGTTTGCGGTCCCTTGCATCATTGCATTTATTTTTTTAAGCATTTCTGTCTGAGTCGGATTCTAGTAGAGGTTTCTTCAGTGTATCCTGCAGTGTCACGCATCGGGAAGATGGCTTGCAAGTTCAGTACTTCGTGAAATCTTATTACAGTTTTACTCCCCTAACTTGAACTCACCGGGTTACATGTATTTAACCGCTTATATATTTTGAACTCCAAAGGTGGAATTTAAATAATAATAAAAAATGTCACTTCAAAGCTGCTACGAGACTGCTTGAAGTATACACTTAAATTTAAACTTTTCGTTACACTTAAACTAACACTTCAGTCGGTTACTGATGAACTTTGTCCTTGGAGTGCTTCTTTCTGGCCTTTGGTCAATAAATATTACATTCCATAATGCTTATCATTTATCGCTAATTACTGTTTTAGTCCATAGTCTTCAGTACAGGGGACCCCTCTACTGGAATAGACTTCGACACTTATATATCTCTCTATAAGGCCCAGTTCAGACGCCAAACTTTTCATGAGCCGAACCTAATACGTTGAATTAAGTACATGAAATGTTCGGCGTCTGAATCAGTTGAAAACGGCTATTTGAATTTGGAACGGCTCAGCCGTTCTTCCCGCCTAGCTCAGCTTGGAATTTCGGCTTTGGGACGGCTTTGATTCAGACGTCGAACTTTTCATGTGCCGAACCTAATGCATACACCTTGCCTGAAAACCGCTGATGTTTCCATGTGTTTTGGTTCAAACTAAATTAAGTTCGGTGAATTAAGTTCGACGTCTGAATCAACAGGTGTACTTTTCATAATTTGGGTCGGTCCAAATTCGAATTAAGTTCGGCTCATGAAAAGTTCGGCGTCTGAACTGGGCCTAAAACCTCGGTTGTTGATGAAAAATGCTGATTTCAGAAATAGTCAGAGGTTGAAAGTCAGCTAGTGAAATCACTTAAAGTATACAATTAAACCTCTATTGCTTTCGCCGGGGATCTGGATTTTGTCCGTAATAGCGGGCGTCCGTAACAACGGGGTGTCTGCAAGGCGAGAGTTGACTGTATACATTAAAGTGACGGTGTCGAACGCACTCGTAATCTTTGATTACTGTAGTTACTATTTTCCTAATTATGGCATACCGGAAATAGGTCGAATTGGTGGGTTCAACTGTAGTTCCAGTCAACGGTGATAACCTGTAGTTCACGTGATTTTGGAGCGTTATTGAATTTCTTACCGACGACCAACAATCGATTCATCTCTGCCGTTGTGGACATATTTGACCGGCGGACATGGAATGCTAAGAAGATAACTGACCTAAAGTTTGTACATTACTATGCGAGAAAGCCACGTAGCTCTATATGGAGTGGAAAATTGCAGTGAGACTGCGTATCTTTTGGAATTACCCCTGGCCCGGTTCAAGAGATATCTCCTGCTGTTTTTAACTACGCTGGTGTGTTTGTCAGGATTCAAATAAAGAATCTTCTGTATGTTTTCGAGAAAACAAGGGTGTCATGTTACGTTGTAAGGAAGACAAAAATATCAAGTTACAAGCGTTGGCGTGAAAAGTGAGTCATATGAGCTACTTTTTAAAATTTCTTATTGAATTTAGAATGAACTAAATTCAACACAAGACACCGTCGTAAAATTCGGCAACGGCAACTAAAAGTTGTCTTTGGACTGTGAATGAATATACACATATGAAACATGACTGAAAAATACACCGTGCTAAGATTGCGTCTTATCAAGTTTTCTGCCCGTTCATATTCTGCAAAGGTAAAATCCCTAGCTGACTACCAAGGTCAATTGGCAGTCAGCTAAGGAGTTTTAGTGTAGATATTTTAGTCTTCTCAGTTTCGTATTTTTTAGTAGTTTGTGTCCTCTTATTAGTATTGGTTTCTCCCAGGCTGCATGGTTTGACACTTTAATAAATGGACCACAAACGTGACTGAGACACTATGATATTTATTATTATTATCATTATTATTATTATTATTATTATTATTATTATCATTATTATAAACTGTGCACGGCAGGGGTGAGGACCTGTGTCGTGGCTAGTTTGTGTCAGAGCTTCTCGCCTCGATTTTCTCGGACGAAGAAGACCAACATAATTTTATGGAAGTGGTGGTAGGGCACGAGCTAGTTTCCAATGGGTTAAATTTCAGAAGAAGAATTTTCCTGTATCTTCTTTACGTAGGGATAATCCTGATGTTAAATGAACCAGGCTTGCGTCTTTTTTTAAAGTACCGATTTATAATTCTTTGTTTTTAGAAAGTGAGCGAAACGTTTTCCTGATAAAGAACTTGAATAAGGTTTAGCTTCGGCGTGAATGAAACTTCAGATGAGCAGTTCCCATGGTGCTCTAAAGGACGGAACATTAATTTTTGAGGGGGGAGGTAGGGGGATTGGGCAAATTTCTGGGACATGATTTTTTTTTCTCACCTTTAATTTTAAGTTGTGCATGATTTTTTTGGGTAGGCAAAAGCTTTTGCAAACACTTTTTTAACATCAAAAGAACAGGACCTGAAAGTATTTGCTCGATTTTTTTTTCCATCGCTCCCCTTGCACCATTTTACTTTCAACAGTTTTCGCTGTGCAGGAATTGTTTCAGGAAATTGCCCAAATACCCCCTCCAAAAAAACAATGGTCCGTCCCTAAAGAGTACGTGATTCGAATCACAACTCAGATCCATTTGAAATCGGCGTAGCAACTCAGTCATGCCAGCAACTTTATGCAAATTTGTTCTAGACATTTATGCAATCGACAGTTGATATCAGTTACACTAATGCTCGAAGCTGACACCTCTCCTAAACCCATCATTGATGATTTTAAGCAAAGAACAAAAGCTAACATAAATACTAGAGGATATTACGCAATAAGAGCACGTTCTAATGTTGCGAAGACTTGTAAATGGAAATTCATCATTTAACACAGACCTCAGAGAAAGCTCTGTTGCCTAGTTTCGTAAAGAGGAAAAATATTGCAGCTGGTAATAAGTTTGATCACGGTCACTGTAGATCTCCTAACAAAGATTTCGTTAAAGGCCTGCAACTGCATGTAAAATGTAAGTCAGCGAAATCAATATGTTGGTTTGCTGTTTGCTTTTTAATTTGAAAGAGGTGTTTAGCTAATGGTTTCCGCCGGGTCAGGATTCCTGAAAGGCTTAATTAAATATTCACCACTTCTGATATCTTGTGTCATTCTAGAAGTAGGATTCTATGCTGACTACACTGTGGTAGTTTGAAAATGAAATGAAATCATTCATACAACTGTAGCTTTTAACACATCGACTTTTTAAGGTTACTAGCCGATAAGTCATCAAGAAAACAATTTAAATTTATTTTGCAAATAAAACTAAATTGTGATGTAAATAAGGAAAAAAGTACCCTAAATTGTTGCACTCGTTATGTGAAGATTCTTTACTTATCATCTCAAGTTGGTTATTTTTAAATCGAGATAACACGACTTAAATTAAGGAAGCGTTAGGGTCTATTTTAATCATTGTCACCATAGAAACCGAACTGGCCCCTAAAACGTCTATCTCGTTAAACCTGTCTTCGTCTTTTTTATCCACGTCCGCTCATCGCCCACTCATTTTGCCGGTGCTCAAGTAAACACCGCGTTCGACAAACTGAGCCACTAACGTGTAAGAGAGGTAAGTATGCGATCTTACTTTTTCCATTTTCTTGTAAAGGGAAAGAGAGCTTTAAGGAATCAAGTAGAATTTCCTGTCAAGTTGGCTGAATATTTCAGAGTTTCACAATTTACTAATCAAGTTAAATTAAATTAAATTTACGGTGAGTTGCTCGACACAAACGACAGTGACTCGGCAGTCGAGACCTCAGACATTCAAATATCATCTGTGAGCAATTTGCTTTAGCTAAATGGTATAACTATGAGAATCACACAAGCCAAAGGCGTCTAAAGTGGCTACGGGCATACTTGTTTGGTTTCCATTTGCTTTGCACTGTCTTAGTGAAAGCTGCTTGAAGAACCTAAGTGCTAAACTGTTAAAAAATATATCAGCTAAGCCAATGAGCTGAGGTGAAAGTAGCTAACTAAGATATATATAGGCTAACCGATGTGATGTGAAGCGGCTTTCATGCAGAGAGGGTCTTTGGAAAAGATTAGTCTAGCGCAGCAACTGTCAGTAATTCCAGTTGAGTTGGACTTTGAACCTTTTTTACGTAGTTTTCCCTTACTGAGCTTTGATCAGTTTTATTTCCCAGTCATGTTTAATTTAAATGCAGTATAGGTCGTATTATTAATGACGTCATGCAGTGTTTTGCTTGGCCAGGGTCTCAAAACAATTTACAATATGCACAAGGGGTTTTAAAAAAGATTATCTTTAAAGGGTGTTTCTCCTCTAACGCCTGTAGAGTTACGGAAAAATGGATTCAAATTTAAGACGATTAAATATGGAGAAAGAAATAACAAAGTATTTTTAAAACACCTCGCTAGCAAGTTATAGTTTTTCATTGGAATTGCGCGAATCTACAGGAGAGTGCGTTTCAGGTCCAGGGTTTATTTTAGTCCATCTGAAGCAATATGTTTCCTCTTGGTTGAGGGTTGAAAGTCTTGGAAAAAAAAAAAAACAAAAAAAAAACAGTTGAATCTAAACATGAGGCGCCGGTCCGTCTAAAAAGTGATTCGGCAATAAAAAATAATGAAAGATAATTGAAAACGTTTCATATAACAAAGGAATTTCGATGCGGTCTTTCAGGTTCCAGCGCACTTCTGATCTCTTTGCGATGTAGCTCGTATACTTGTCGTTAGGGGATGGCTTTGAGATTGCTTAAGAATTTTTCATAACAAGAGCACTCTCTTTCATTCGTTGACGGCATATTAGGTGGCGGAATGGCTCTGTTTGCCGACGAGTTGAAATAATGGAACAACATGACTTCTTGAGGGAATATTGTTTATTTGCGCCCATGCAGTGTCATTTACATACCGAGGGCCAAGCGCAATGGCCGCAAATGACACTACAACGGCGCAAATAAACAATATTCACGAAAAAAGTTAAACCTTTCCACAAATATCGCGTAAAATCGCCTCAATATCTTTTCGGAAATTCTCAAAAAATCTCCTAAATATCATTAAAAATTTGCTAAATACCTCGAAAACCATCTAAATATCTCTTATTTTTTGTCATAAAAATGTACCGATTTTGAATCACTTAGGCCGAAATTTTTACTACAAACCGCTGAATGAAATTTCAAAAACGGCAGATGCTGGTAACATCGAAGCGCCTGAATCTTCTGCCACTGCAAGAAGTTTTAAAAATTTCGGCCTAAGTCATTCAAAATCGGTGCATTTTTCAAAACAAAAGACAAAACAAGGATATTTAATGTCTTCTAAAACTACACTCATTTTGCAGACCAGAGTGCAGTAACAGAACTCCATTCTTAGACCAAAATGGTCAAAATATTACTGACCCTATTTTAGGGCAAAGCGACTCAAAACCACACCCTTTGGGGACGTTCGTTACCTACCTCCAGGTGATGTGGGGGAGTTGTACGGAGTTACTTTCCCAACTATCATAAAGCAATGACTTGTTGTAATTACTGTTTCTCGATCGTTTGGCTGTTATTAGCACCGGATTCTCAGTGTTTTGGCATTTGTCAAGTTTCTTATAAACTGCTTTGCTTGTAGCCAGGAGCATATCCTCATGAATTTGAAGAATGTCGTAGTAGGTAAAATAGGCCAATTCCGATATATATATTAAAATTCTGACTTGGCTCCGAGGCTTAGCGGAATGAAACAAAAGAAATCGCATCGAGGATGAGGGATGAATAATTAATTTCTTTTGTTTTATTCCCCTAAGCCTCGGAGCCAAGTTAGAATTTTAATATATCGGAATTGGCCCATTCTCGTCTCCCTGTAAAATGGATCCGTTTTGGGTCGCCGGCTAGAGTTGAGAAAATCAGGTCCATCTTTTTATCTATTTATTTATTTATATATTTTATTTTATTTTTTTTCGTGGCATATCTGTAAAGTTTTGTCAGTTTTCACTAAACCATTTAGCAAAGCGTATGTTCCTCGTTAAATAGAGTATTGTATTGTATTGTATTGTATTGTATTGTATTGTATTGTATTGTTATGCGTGAAACTGGCTTGAAAAGGTCGGCTCTTAAAGTCTAGAACTAAAAAGTAATAATAGTAGAGTAATATTTAGGACAGACTTCGACTTCAATGCAGCCCCTAAACGAAGGCTTATTGCCGTGACAAATATAGTTCTTCAATCTTCGTATTTCAGTATAAAGTTGTCATCAATGAGTAAAATTGTCAGGATATAGATCCGTTCAATATGGAAATGATATCGAGAATGCGATATCAAGTTTGTCCTCGGACTATCATGTTATTTTATTACAAAACCAATACTTACCGAGAAGCGCAGGAATTTTTTGAATGTGTTTCAAAATGTGGCAATAAATTGTATTGAATTACATTTTCTCAGTTCTCCGAACTCTCTCGATTCCGTAATTTAATGCAACCTAAAATGAATTTTAGACAAACGAATAAAATAATTAAAAGCTAGCAAGATAAAAAATCAGCTTTCCAAAGTATAGTTTTCAATAATTGAGCTGATCATCAGCGTAAGACCCTGTATCAGTGCTGGGGCTCTTATGTAACAGTGATTCCCAGATAGGCTAAGAGTAGTCGTAATCATTGTTCTTGTGAAACTCTGGGAAACTCTTCTGTGATTCTTCATTTCATCGACGAATATGAATATTCGGTGGCTAAAATCTGTGTCCGCATTGACTGTAATATCACGCGGAATGATTAGATGCCGTTGTCAACAGCATCCATTAGCGGGTTGTAAATGAATGGAAGGTATATTGAATAAACACATCTCATAATAACGTTAATTCGTGTTTCTGAATAAAACACAGAAACGATTTATCATTACTGATAAAGAACAGAATAGCAGACGAATGTACACCAGCGAATCGAATCACGTAACAGGCAGATGCTATCTCGCATTAACACAATTTGTTTCCGTAGAATCTTCAATCAACATCTTTTTGTCTAGATTGATTCCCGGGGATTTTCACTGCATTCACAGCCAGGAAAAGTCACTTTAGTCTAGGTTTCCTTGTACAAAACGTTATATTTTAAAACGTACGTTATTGTTCTCCTCAAATTAATCGAAATTATCTTGATTCACGGCGGCGGCAAGTCGAGAGCGATTTTTTGTATGCAAGTTTTCAAGGAAAAAGTCGTTGCCTAGCGGTACGATTGAGGAAAGCGGCTTAATAACTAGCTGTGTTTAGCGCAATAGTTTCTTACTTGTTCACTTTGTCGAGGTTTTGTATGAGTGCCTTCCAGAAAGCCTGATACATTTTATTGAAATGCAGATTTTACTTAGTTTTGATGTCAAGTACAGCTGAAAGGATATCGAAATCACGGGAAATTCTATTATTACGTTAAAATTTTTTCTCCACACCTTATCCACGCAGAATAAGCCACCATATTTCAGTTTCATTTCTGTGGCTTTCGTAAGCAAAAAAGTATTTTTGTGATGAAGAGTTTTACCGCATAACCAGAGCACTATTTCAGTATGGTTTATAAATAAGTGTTCTGAAACCTGTCAATAACGTGAGCTTGTTGAATTAGACTTCGCTTCCTAATTTTAGTGTATGTAGGATTTGAGATATCTGTATTTTTTATTAGCGCCCGTTCCTTAGAAACCTAAATGTCCTCTTAAAACTTCTTACGATCACTATTCTCTTTGCGGTTGTTTTGGTCTAGCAAGTCAGTTTACAGCCACAAGGGCTCGCTCTCTGTCGATCTATCCAACTGTACCGCTGAGTTACTACAATCAACAAAAAGTTTGTGCTGAACAAATTCACCATAGAAGAGAGGTTGGTACTAAAAAAACATGTCGGTAGATTATATGCGGCGAGACATCAAGAGCGCAAATTCTCAACTGATACGAACAAAATAGTGAGCGGACTTTGCACAGTTATCAAACACGGTCGGCTCCGGGTGAATTTGCATTATCAATGAGTTGGTGGTCAGGAAAAAAGCGTTCATGTTTGCTTAAACAAATCGGAGGATTCTTCAGGAATACAAACGAAAAAAAGAAGGATGAATAAACAGGAAGCCCTGTGCATACAGATTTAACCACGCTTCAGTTTGCTTTTAGTTCAATGCGATCAAGTGAGCAATTGTTACTTTAAAATGTGCTTATTCACCTCTCGTTTGTGTGGCACGATAACAAAGTTAGTAGGGATTATCCCTTAGCTAAATTAATTTAATTTTATTTGGTTTGTTTAGCTGATTGAAAATGTTTTCTCTGTCGGCAAGTCTACCTCGCGTCTGTGTTATAAAAGCGACTAAAGATTTCCGTTACACCGCACAAGATTTTAAAATTTATGAGGTACCAACCAATAGTTTATTTTACGTATTTTACTAAAAAGGAGCAAGTCGGCTTTTATAGCTTGAAAATGGACTTATCAAGTCCCTGGATCTTGCAAGGAAATTCTGAAGGGTTTCGTTCAGAGGTCAATAACAAAGAGGAATGCACACGCTTTTGACAGCAAGACATTGAGAATTGCATAGAAATATCGTTAAAGGTTTTTAGACGCCAAATTTAGATTTGAAAGCCTGGCAGCACTATACTTTTGAAATGGCCGCCGTGATGAAACATTGCGAACTGAGGAGGTATCACCTCTGAATTCAGAAGAAATTATGTCGATTGTTCAGACACTCCAGTCATGCGCTCTTAGTGTCTTGTGAGCTCTGTTGATTCTGAAGCTGTTCAGAATTTCCTTGCCAGTCGTTGATGGCCCGTTGGTCGGCTTACCATTTTGGTGCCTAGTCTCAAAATTCAGATGCACAAACGCTATACTGGATTAATTCGAGTGAGTAGATGCTGAACAAAGCTGATCATTTTTTCGCAATCAATAGTTATTTGTTTCAAGTTAACATTTTGCTTCCGGATTTTACCCTTTTCTTTAAAGTAAGAACAAAAGGAAAAATGCGAAAAAATAAAATTTTCTCTCAATTGTTCGAGTAAACAGGCGGCCAAACATTGTATTCTAACGTTCATAGAACCTCTATTGTTAGCTTGTAATAAATGTCTTTGAAAACTTGTCATCTTCACTTAAACGCGAGTCGGCGAGATCTGGGTTGCTTGGCTACTTCAAGACGAGCAAATTCGGTAAAAGAATTATATCTATCATTTAACCGCTAATAATTACCACAAAAGAAGAGGATTTCAATCTAGTGTCGTAAAATCAAAACCAAATAATTACAATGCCTAGTCACGACAACAGGAATAGAACAACAGAGTCAACTGAAAACACTTCGAGAACTCAAAGACATCGCGGTCCTTGTTTCGTTATAATTACCTATATTCTGTTTAGCAGACATTTCTTTTAAGGATTCTTTTGATTGGAAAAACGGAAAAAAAGGCAGTATATTTGACAAAAATAGTTCCTTTAGTTAAAAGGATTTGGTAAAATGTTCAATATTTGTGTTACATGTCGGTAAACGAAACTTTTCTGAAACGTTAATTTAGAAATGCTTCAGATATTAATAACTTGGTTGTTTTTTTTTACCTGTCAAAACATTTAATCACTTTGCGTTTTAAGATTATAGAATATCCAAAATATTTTCTTAGAAATGAAGACAGGCGAAAAAGTATGTGCCTAAATATGACATCTTACAAAGAAAACACTCACAATTTACTACTGCTCATATCGTCAAAGTTGCAGGTTTAATTTTATTTCTTGAGGGCAATTCCCATTGAGAAACGTTGCTTTTCGTTTCAATTTGCAAGTCCATTTCCAAGTTTTTCACTTTCATTCGTCACCATAACAACTAACATTTCCCCTTAAACGTCCATCTCGTTAGCTTTACCACTTTACCGCCATTAGCCGTTGCCTATTATTATTATTATTATTATTATTATTATT